CCCAAATATTTTGTATCTGGAGCTCAAAGCAGTCACATGATTATCTGGCCTGGCACATGATAGGAAGCCACATCACTTAAATCTTATCACAATGTGTGTCTTCTCATGCTTCTCATTTACACATAGGAAAGAATGAAAAAACAAAACTACAAACCCTCAGCATCTCAGCTTTTTGAATGGACACATTTTGGTAAATGCTTCACATTTATTTTGCCATAATGAACAACATTTTTTGTATGTCAGTAGATATAGTTTAACTTTTACAAAAAGCTGCTGCAGAGTTGCTGGTTTATTCCCCTCCCAAATATTTACATATAAAGTATACTGTATTTCTAGCTGCATTTTTTGCTTAGTGTAACATGAAATCCTTTCTAAATGCAAATGATTCTTTTCTTTTTGTATTGTGCATACCGATAACGTATCAGTTGAGGGTCAATGGGACCCTCCCCCCACAAAATAGGTTTTACTGGAAATTAAAAACAACAACCAGGAATTGGGAAGATGCTCTGTTATGACTGCTGAGCCTTCTTTCCATGGGCATGCTTGCTGAAAACGTTTTTTTTTGCTGGAGTTTCCTCCCTACACCCCCCCCCCCCGGGCATCTTTATTGAAAGTTAAAAAGTGCCTAAGCTCGGCTTCTGATATTGGAGACATCAATAGTTTTCCCCTTTTTTATTGTTAAATTTGCATCCTTCCCTTTCTCCCAGGGTGGAGGGATAGAGCTGTATCTTGTCAGCATACTGATGACACTGCACTCCAAATTCCTGGATGGCAGCTACCAACAGCTTCATAGAGATGTTGAAAAGCTTGGGCTCCACCACTCAGAAGCCATGGGGATGAGCAATTGTCTCTTAGTACTCCTTCCTGGTAGCAACCCTTCACGTCTCATTCTCTCTAAAACAAACACACCTGGGATTTCAGTCCACTCTACAAATTCAGAATTAGGAAAGGTTCTGGATCATGTAGAATTGTGTGCTTGTGAAGGATTCAGACATTGGCACACACAGACACCCGGGTGGTACCACCTTGTTTCCTGTTGTTAACCATGATCTGACCACCTAGATGAAGCTGGAGGGTATGGCTCTGTGTGAGAGGCCAATAAAATTATTAGCATGCTGAGAATTCCCAGAATTCTTTGGTAACTACACCCCCTTTTTTAACACAAGGGTTACTTTCACCCTTTATCAACTCTGTGTGCATCACACGCAACAATAGGCGTGGTCAGAAGTAGGTGTGACCGCCCCAAAATCTCACATATACTTGACACACACATGGCGCATGCTCCCCTCTCCTCAGCTGATCTTTTCAGATCAGTTGAAACGTGGAGCTGCTGCCCACTTCTTCATCAAATAATTCATCTGATGACCAGAAAGGGGAAAACTTCCATCCACATCAGGGCACAGGAGTAGGGGGAGAGGTTTAAACTTCTTCACCTACCCTAGTGTTGAATCCATTCTGCCTGCCCCCCATTTTTCTACTGCTGGGATGGATCGGGGGTGGGGGGAAATAGCTGAGGAGTGGGACTAGTGGTTAGCTCTATACTGTTTTCAGATGACCAAAGTATATAAGGATTTAAAATAAAATAAAATTGTACCCCACTTTTCCCTTCCACAGAAGGGTCACTCAAAGCAACTACAAAAGCAACAAGGGTCCAATTGTTAAAACACAAATCAATAGCACTGAAAAAGTTGTGTTAGTTTGTGGTTTAATGGAAGGATTATTATTGTGCATTAGGGTGCTGGGCAAAGAATGATGTCATCTCTTTCGTCTTACTGTATCCACCACTGCAGTAGGAAATTGGATAATGGAAATCAGTTTACACTTTCAGAAATGATGGATCTGCTCAGGATCCATATTTACCGAAAACCTGTTTCTCCCTGTTGTTTCCCCTTCATGTAAATATTTAAATGGCTGAGGCAGGTTGCTGAACGTGTGTGATTCATGGAGAAAGTAATGAATCCTTCGGGGTATATGTGGGTAGTGTTTACTGAGGCATGTCTTTATGGGTCTGGAACACCTATGGAAATGCATACAGTTTGCCCCTGGATAAATGACTCAATAGCTTCTTTGACATTAAAGAATCTATTTCAGAGCAGAGCATCCTGGGAAAGCTTGTAGACTGCTATTTAATACAGAGGCACTAAAAATGGAGAAAATTGGCTATCAGTCATCCTGTTTAAAAATGTAGAGAATGGCTACAACCCAGATATAATACCTTGGCCACTCACATTTCTTTCTTCCCACTACTTCTGGTTCAAAATACATATTTAGCCTGAGCAGGAGAACTTGATAACGCATATGAGCAGCGATTAAGAACATCAACCCACTGAAATTGGAGGCCAGCATAGTGGTGAAAGATTATTATTATATTATATTAATTATATTATATTATTAACACGAGAACATAAAAAACAGCCTCTTGGATCAGGCCAGTGGCTCATCTAGTCCAGCATTCTGTTCTCACAGTGGTCAACCACTGTTTAGCCTGTTTAGCCTGGAGAAGAGGAGGTTAAGGGATGATATGATAGCCATGTTCAAATATATAAAAGGATGTCACATAGAGGAGGGAGAAAGGTTGTTTTCTGCTGCTCCAGAGAAGCGGACATGGAGCAATGGATCCAAACTACAAGAAAGAAGATTCCACCTAAACATTAGGAAGAACTTCCTGACAGTAAGAGCTGTTTGACAGTGGAATTTGCTGCCAAGGAGTGTGGTGGAGTCTCCTTCTTTGGAGGTCTTTAAGCAGAGGCTTGACAACCATATGTCAGGAGTGCTCTGATGGTGTTTCCTGCTTGGCAGGGGGTTGGACTCGATGGCCCTTGTGGTCTCTTCCAACTCTATGATTCTATGATTCTATGAACCAGATACCTGAAGGGAACCCTCAAGCAGGATTCAAGCACAAAAGCACTCTCCCCTTCTGTGGTCTCCAGCAACTGGTATTTGCATTGCTACCTCCAGCTGTGAAGGCAGAGCACAGCCATCATGGCTAGTAGCTGTTGATAGCCTTCTCCATGAATTTGTTCAGTCATCTTTCAAAGCCATCTAGGTGGGTGGCCATTGCTGCCTCTTGTGTGAGCAAGTTGCATAGTATCCTGAAGTTGCATCAAGAAGTACTTTCTTTTATCTAGCCTGAATCTTCCAATCTTCAGCTTCACTGGCTATCCATGTTATAGTGCCATGGATAATTTTATCCTTTTTGAGGTAAGGTGGCCAGAACTGTACACAGTTCTTCCACATTTAAGCGCCCTGTATATTTGTATAATGGCATTATGATACCAAGTTTTATTTCCCATTGCTTTCCTAATGATCCCTAGCATGGAATTTGCCTTTCTCACGGCTTCCGCACACTGAGTCAACATCTTCATCAAGCTATTTACGACCACCCCAGAGTCTCTTTCCTGATCACTCACTGCCAGTTCACACCCCATGAGTATATATGCAAAAATTAAGATTTTATTTGCCCCTACATCCATCACTTTACACTTATTTACATTGAATTGCATTTGCCATTTTACCTCCCATTCACACTCTCTTTATGTTTTAACAACCCTGAAAACTTTAGTATCAGCAAATTTGGCCACCTCACTGCTCACCCCTAACTCTTGATCAAAAGTATAAGTCACAATATCAATCCTTGCTTGTACCAATCCTACATTGGGAGAGCTATCCATTTATTCCTACTCTTTGCTTTCTGCAATGTAACCAATTCCTGAACCACAGTTGTGCTGTGATTTTTCTGAATACTCAAGAAGCAGAGTCCAGGTTTGCAGAATCTAGTTTGCTATTTACTAGAAGCTTAACAATGACCCACCAGAGCCTATGCAAAATAATAGCTCTGGGTGTTGCTGATGGATCCAGTTACAAACTATACCCATACAGAAGGATGACAGATCAGGGATCCAACAAGATCAGGGTAACAATGTTGTTGCTGTTGTTAAATAATTAAGAGTCAGAAACTCTTGCTGATATGCTGCAAATCATCAATCAAGTCTACTGGTGGATGGCAATCTCTGTCTTTCCCCCACTCATTCCTGGCCTAAACCATAGATAATGTGGTTCCATTACTGGTAGTTGGAAAGAAGATAATAATGTTTATAGACATGCCCACTTTTTGAAATATTTCCTACCTGCAGTGGAATCTTTTTTTACACCAAAATGCTATGGAATATATATTTGCATAATGAAGGTGTCTTCATTTATTACTTTGTATAACTCGAAATCTGCTCACACGATCCATGGTTAAGACAGTGTTGTCATATATTGTTACATGTTCCCCACTTACCTCAGTGTTGACAAGTTTCAGGGGCAGCATTTACCCTGCTTTGATCTCTTTAGCTGGACAGATCACTGGAGATTTACAATGTTTTTATAATGTTTATTTATAAAAAGACAATTTGAGCATCGGTGGAGGTAGACAGTGCAGCACTCCTGCTGAGTAGCAGAACCACTGCTTCATCAGATCTCCAGAAAGGCAGAGAGCCACCCATAGATGCTCTTAACCTTGCAAAGCTCAAAGCTTCTTGCCTCCTTCCATCTCAGTTTTTTGCTAACTGTAGTGTTGTTCTTGTTCTTTTTTGCAAAAACACCTTCATTCGAGGAGGCTCAGAAAAGGTATGTTGCCTTCCTTTCCTCCTGTTCAGAACATTCAAGCGGTGTTTCCAGAAGCCATATTTTAACAATTAGCTCCCAGAACAACACATTCCATTACCATTAAGGAACACCAGCCAGTCATTCTGGCCCGAGCATTATTTTGCCTAAGCATCAAGCTGTGATCCAGGATTGCTTCAAGTCAAACCCATAGTAATTTTCCGATTCACAATAATCAGATGACAATCCTATATGCTTCCTCCATCTACCTTAAGATGAAAAAGTCTGCATGCAATGCTATAAGTTGGACACAGCTTATCAAAGTTTCCTAGACCCCCAAATATATACTTTTAGAAAACCGATATTTAATTTTTATAACCCAGTGTTATGTTCTGTGTAACTCAGAAGTTTGGGGAAGCACCATGGCTCATTGGTAGAGCATCTTTGCATGCAGAATGTGGTTCCAGGTTCAATCCCTGGTATCTCCAGGTATGACTGGGAGACAATCCTGACTGAAATGCTGGAGAGCTGCTGCCAATCAGTGGAGATGATACTGAGATAGATGGACCAGTGGTCTGACTCAGTAAATAAAAGGCAGTGTCCAATGTTACTAAACGTCCAAAATAGAATGCATTATGTGTTCATGTGCTCTATGTTTACAGTATCAACAGACTGGATCAAGTGTAATACAGAAGCTTGATCTATAATTCCTAATCATAGTTAATTACCTTGTTGCTTGTAATACTGTGAAGAAATCAGGAAAGGAGTACACTTTCTCATGAATTTACCAAGTGTAGGGGAAGCAAAACTATATTTTCAATAAAAATAAATAAAAGCCATTGGACATTTTTCAATTCTTTTTTGAAATGACATTTGAAAACGAATGGAAAATTGCAGGTGTTAACCCTTGTACTCTTTGCTTTTACATTGCTCACATTCCTTATGAATGATTTACTTAAAAGTTGTTTTCCAAGATCGTCACTCCTATCCAGCTATCCCTTACAGCAGGGATAGGGAAGCCGATGCTGTCTGGATGTTGCTGGACTACAGCTCCCATTAACTTTGACTATTGTCCATGCTGGCTGAGCCTGATGGGAGTTGGAGTTCACCAGGGCACCAGGATTACCTATCCATTCCTGAAAATGCCTTAGAAGTCCCATACCTACCACAGACCCACACATTTCACTGAAGTGGCCGCTCTCAGTCTGAATGCAGATTTACCATAAAGAAGTGAACAGGCATTCTTTTTCAACACTGCAGCGCATCCTGAATCCTGGATAGATATGGGATGCATAATGGTGGTTATGGTGATTTTCCATATATTCGTGTGAATTGTATGTATATTTCACTGAGGTATGGCTCCCATTCAGGTATGGCTTTTGAAAAAGTTCTTGAGTGCCCTCTCTTCCCCTTAAAATAACAGCATCAAGATCCAGTCAAAATTGGAACATGAAGGTTTTCATCCATAGCATTCTGTTGTGGGCTAATGCCTCCCGGCTGTCACATTTTGTTTTGATGCTGATTACCTTCATCAGTATAATTTATCAAGTTGTCTGGATAAAAAGGGATGATAAATACTTTGGAATCTAATCTTCAAATTAGACAGAAAATATTGCTGCATTGCCTGAAGGTAGCATGCAGGTGTGCCATCTCATCTGTCGGGAAAGAGAATCTAACTGAATCACCTGTCTTGACCTGTATGAGTCACCCTATTCTTTTCCTTTCATCCTATAGAAAACTTGTTGTGTGATCCTTGGAGGCCTTTTTGAATCATGCCATGTTGAATTTGGCCTCATTTTCATTGCAGTCATACAGTGAAGGGATGAATTTAACTTATATCCAACATCTGGCAACCTTCTTACACACAGACTGACTGTGGAAAGCAAAATTACCCACATACAGTCACTAGTGTGGTTGTAGCCTGTTGCTTTCTCAATTGCTTTTGACCAGTACTCAAGATTGCTGGGAATCCCAAGTAAAGGAAAACCTCTTGGCAATCTCATTAGTTATGGGCAATAATTAATACTTCCTATCTTTATAAGCTACTGTACAGCGAGCCCTGTGTTCATTTGGAATATTTAGAGTGACCATACCCTAAAGTGGTTGCCTGTTTTCCAACCTACCTTTACATTTGCTGTGTATATACAATTTATATTCCAGTCACAAATAGACCCAATCTGTGCACTTCACCTTGGCCAAGAATAGTCTTCTGTTCAGCAAGCAGCCAATTCTGGAATCCATTCCTCTGTCACACAAACACAGGGAACGTGCTTTTTCTTGCGACTTCTTGCCTGTCTCGTCTCTATCTCAGCAAAGACTAGCCACCTTGATATAACCTTGAAAGAGAAGTGGGGTCCCAACTAGAAAATAGCATTTTTACAGTAAATAAAGAAAAGTTAACCAAAATGTTTTATTGATACATTCTTAGACAATATCACAGGTTTGAGAGTATGGAAAGAGGGGAGTTCTGCGGCAAAGATTGTTCTCACTAAATTGGCACATAAGCAGCAAGATTAACGAAATTACTTATTACAAACAGTATAAAACATACATGCTTTTTTCCCTTAAAAGTCTTTTTTTTGTTTAAATCACACTGGTCAGTCAATAGTGGGGCATTAACAAAGAAAAAAAAATCTTTTCAAGACATGTAAAAGCCGTTTTCTTTCTTTCAAATACCATAAGAATTATTGAAATTATTGCAAAATAGTTATATACCGTAATGAAAAGAACAAAATAGAAACACAAATACAAATATCCAACATAAATTATTAACATGTACTGTAAAATACATTACTGGCATGCATTCCAAATATCAAGACGACCTCTATCAAAATTCAGCAATCCGTTCTGCTTTCTCTGTTGCCATCAGAATTATGAAAGGCAGAGAATGGAGGTGGAGGTGGAAGAAAGGGGTGGGGACAGAGTGAGGGGCTTGCTTGGTCAGCACAGTTTTTGGTCTTAAGTATCTTTTTTCTCCCTTTTGTTTTAATTAAAAAAATAACATATATGAATTGCAGTGGTACAGTAATAATCATACAAGTCATGTACATAAATTCTTTTAAATCTCAGGGGTTTTGTCGTTTTTGTTTTAGTGTGCTAAAGTTAGAAAGAGCAGGGCTTGCATGATAACTGTGCATTCAAAACCAACGGTGAACCTCTGAAACGACATGAATGGCAATATGCAAAAATCCCTCACAAACTGTACAGAAAGTTCAAAAACTTGCAGTTTGGAAGTACATAGAAAGACAAAAATAGCCCCTTAAAAGTCACCATGGCCAATTGCAGTTCACCCGGGAGAAGCTGGTCGGAGCTCATAGGTCATACCTCCCATACAATGAAGAAAAGGTCCAACATCACAGCCCAGTGGCAGTGCCAGTGACTTATTAAGCCAAGAATAAGTTAAGGATATTTTCATAGAGCAGCTGTTCAGAATACTTGGATCCTCCATAATAACTGCCTGGCCTTTCAACGTCTCCAGCAGTGCATACGCTGCGGTTTCAGGAACAGGCCTACACGAGGTTAGGTGACTGAATGGATGAAAATCTCCATCCTCCCATGGCTCCGTCTGATGCAGCTGACTAGATAACCAGATTGTTATAACTGACATACTTCTTTTTTGCAGCAGGGCCTGTGGAAGAAAAGGGCAAGAGAAGACCAATCAGCAATACAAGGACCTGCTGAATCTTCTGCTATGGTCTGTTGGTAGATACCAACATTTGGGAGTTGGCGTTCTACGGTGAGAGAAGAGAGAAGCAGAGAGGCACAGGCATGCATGCAGGTACATAAAAATTACCAGCCCATAAACATTATTACTAGTCCATCTTCCTAGGCATACCGATGTAAGTCATTTCTTGCATGTAAACAGCTTGCAAGTCGTACCATATTTTCCCTGTTGGTGTGTGTGTGTGTGTGTGTGTGTGTGTGTGTGTGTATATCTCCATATATCCATTGCAAACCAAATCTTGCACACCAGTTTACATGTGGCTGCACACTGTGCACACACATAAGGTGGATTTTGCCTAACAAGTCCCATCAGCAGAAGCCCTGCACAAGGACTTGCGCAATGGGGCTTTGCCTCCTCTTCTTCCCCCATGCCCTCCGCCTGGGTTATGTATGTCAGGAGATCCCAAAAAACCAGCATGTGGAAAAGGGAGAGGCCGGGTCATTCTCTTCGGCAAGTTGAAGTTCTTGCGCTGGCAGAATGCTTGATACCACGTGAGATTGAATCCAACCAAGTCATTTCACAAGTGGAATGATGTCTCCTTCCCACTGTGCCCTCCCACCCTCCTCAGATCTGCTTCTAAAGGTTTGGGGAGGCCCCAGAGCCCCTACTGACACAGAAGTAACTGTGGGGCTATTTGGACGCTTGCCAGTAATTTGATTTTACAGCTAAACCTGAAATACTTCTGTTTGCGTAGCCACCATTCACATCAGACAAATTCAATTTTCATCTCAAAGTAACAGCCTCAATTATTGTCATCAGTGGCAAATTGCTAAATGGCAATTGGTTGTATATAAATATATGAAGGGTGAATAGCACGCTTGTGTTTATTATTAAGATTACATGTGTTAACCTGTAAGTATGCTTACAGCTGCACCGTTCAGAAAGAGCAGGGAGTAATTTGATCCACTAGGAACTTCTCCTTAACAACCCCACTGAAATAAATGGTGGCTATGCTTGTGCCCTGGCATAAGTTTAATTCATTCACAGTGTTTGTGGAGGACCAGCTGCCGGTGGATTGTGCCTGTTGTTATTGGGGAGTGGGGCGGGGGGGGAGGGAAATCAGCTGTAACTTTCTAAGCATCTGCTGCTGCAAAATGCCATCAATCTAATCAGAGAAGAGAACCTGGTAAACAAGATCCAGGCAGTAATAATGGCAATAGCATTAGATGCCCTCATATATACACACAAAAATGGCCAGAACAGATTGCAAACTGACTTTGGGTTTTGGATCTTTCCAACAGTTATTGATATGAAATGAAAGGCTTCGTATCAGAATTCTCAGTTCTGCAGCACACAGGGATTGTGTAGTGATGGTACTGAAGAACAATAACCCTAAAATGTTTAAGTGAAAAAGGGCCACAAAAAAGTTAGGTTATAAAAGTGTTTTCAGAATAAAATAAAGATGTAATTAATAGCAGCAGATGACTTTTTTTAAAAAAAATATTTTTATTAAAGATTTTCTTGGTTTACAAAGTACACGCCTTCTGACATTTTATATAGCTTTCAGTTCACAGTTCTAAGAAAGCTTTGCAATCATTAATGAATTCACAATGGAGCAAACGTCCAACTTGTTCAGAACTTGAGCCTGACCAAGCCTGTTGCAGTCTATCAAATAGGCATTGTTGAATGCTAGGTGTGTGGCAGACTGCTAATTTTGCCACCTGCAGAAATAAAATCCACAGTTGGGCAAGCAGTTGGCACAAAATAGTGGGCAAGATTTTGAGTTCTCCAGGATGTGTAAAGCAGGGGACACATTTTTAAAAT